ACATTACAGTTAGGCCAAACTACAACATGACATTATCAGGTTGCGGGGTATGTGTCACTGTCCAGAGTTTTATTTGAAAGATTACATGTCAAGATCTTCTCCTGTTCATATGTTCACAGGTATCTCCAATGTTTGGGACCATCTTCAACATGGTGTACTTTGTTGCTAAGGCCGTGGAGGAGCGTCGCCAGGCAGGAGGCGGACACTGGGTGACTGGCAACCAGCTCCTCCAATCGGATGGAGGATTTGAGTTTGAGGGCTTCAATCAGGTCTGAAATCATATGTACACGGTTGATATGATAAGTGAGAGAGGTTAACTGAATACAGACTGTTTCTGCTGATAGTTTTGGTGAATATAGTGGGGAAGATTCCATGAATTTCATAATAACTCATCTATGGTTAAAGAAAATCCTGCCATCATCACCACTAGGATTTGTTCAGGTAGTTGTCTTCTGTACAGGGAAGAAAATGATGATGGAATAATTCTTTAAATTTGTTTCCAGCCTTCTCTGATAGAGAACTACTGTCAACATATTTATTTTCTTTGTAGTCAAATAATCCTGATTTAAATGTAAGCTGACACGGTCAGAGAAAACAGGATTATGACTAAAAAGTCTTTATTGCTCATTCTCAATATCATGAGTCAGCACAAGATCAGAGTATGATTCAGACAATGGGTAGAACTCTTAGAAACGGACACGGTCTGAGTTCAGTTTATTTATTAGGCTCTCTCAGTACATTCCAGAAACTCCTTTTTGATCTGTGGTTTTTTAGGTGTTGTTTGGGGGTAAAGAGGGCCGTGGCCTTCAGGCGCAGTACGTGGTGCTGGACAGTGATGGCGACCGGCTCGTCCCAACACACACGCTGGCGCCAACACACACCGACGGGACGGTGGGAGGTCTGAGACCCCTGGGCCGCTCCTTCTTCTTCCCTGGAGGAAGGCCGCCCAAAGCCAGCTTCTGTTGGTTCAGTCCAGAGGAGGCCTGCCGGGGAGGTGTGTTCACTGACCTGCAGAGGCCTGCAGTGGAGGTCTTTTAGTTTTGACGGTGGTGAGGCGTTCACTGTCAGTTGTATGCTTCCTGTCACATGGTCTGCTGTCTGTGACGAGTGAATGTGCGGAAATCATGAACTGTTTTCTTCCTGTCTGTTCCAGGTGTGGACGCAGTGACAGTGTTCTTCATCTTCCTGTTGCTTTGTGGTCTGATTTCAGCTTTTGTCATTTGGATCAGGTCATAAGAAACAGACACACACACACACACAAACACACGCAAACACACAAACAATTGGGGTTGAAGTGAGAAGTTAATTGTATTAAAGAGGAATTAAAACAAGTCTTCTGATGACTACATCCTGAAAGTATTTGTATGATCATTGTAAGGAAACAGCCAACAGCTGATATATAAATGAACATCTACACAGACCCTGTAAAACTCTCCTTAAACCTATAAACTGTGTGTTAAATAGGGCAAAGTGCCATAAGTCAGGTCCAGTCTAATGTAAACCCAACTCTGAATTGCTATGAGAGAGGCTGTGATGTAGCCCTGGGGGGCTCCGCCCCTGTTAAACTAGGTCCACTGGCTGGCCCTAGCCCTCCATGCAAAGCAGGAGTCAACTCATTGCACTGCTGACCTGCAGGTGGGTTGGCGTTTTCTCTGCTCTTTTACTCAGATTTGGTTGGATGTAAGACAAAAAAGTCATGGTGTGCACAATGCTGTCCATCAGCCAAGTTTTACGGTCACTGGGTGTTAGATTTAAATGCCCTTTGGGTACCTGCTGCGTCTGGAAAGACACGCTAAACCCTGGTGATGCATTTAGCATGAAACTGGTCATAGGGCTGTTCTTGGTCACAATTATCTGTGTGTTTGCAGGAAGTACAAGAAGTCGGCTGACGTCATCAAACTGATTATGACTTTGGACGACATCGTCTTCATCGACACTCAAGTCAGCAGGAAGGTCAGAAAACTTCAGAAACAGCTCATAGCAAGCTCGTTATACTTGTGTCAGATCTGATGGTAAGTCCTCATGCATGTGTGACCAGAATCCAAAGACACTGAAGGCTGGCTCGGTTCTGTACGGGGACACGGCCATCAGACCCGGACGGGAATGCTTTAAAGATCCATCAGACTGTGACGGGTCTGAGGAGCTGAGTTTAAAACCATTTTATAGTTATTAGTAACCAAATGTTGGAGTAACTGCTGATCACTAAGTCTAAAGAAAGAATTTGCTCTGCATGATGCAGTGATGCAAGCACCAGAAAGGCCTCAGAAGTGGGCAGGATGGGACACATCTACCATGTGACTGGAGTGTGGGGCATCATCCCCCAACTCTCTACTGCTGATTTAATGCCTTAATGCCCACTGTTCATGATTCATTTGAGCAGCGAGAAGTCGAAAAAGGCCTGAAAACATTATACAAATCAGTTCACCAGGTCAGGTCCGTTCTTTTGTTTCTCAGCGTGGATTTACAAGTGTTTTTGGTTTTATTCTCTTTCAGAAACTGAATGAAGAGTCTATCATGAAGAGTCTTCTGGAAATTAAGACCCCGTTGCGTTCGATTGCTAGAAGTTACATTTTGACCACACCCGAGAGCTCCAACATCGGCATACTGGAGGTACTCCATGCGTCCGTGCACTGGCCGGAGCTGTGCGCTCGCTCTGTAGACGTCACACTGATGCTCTGATCTGTTTCCAGGGGGACCTGGTCTGGTTGAAAAAGATCCCTTTCGGAAAAACAGAAACAGCTGTGAATCAGAACACTCAGAACCTTTTCAGTCAGGTACAACACACACTTCCCCATGACAGACACACAACAGACCAGCAGTAGGACGGGGCGGAATATCTGATCCCACTACGACTTAACCAGCCTAATCCAGTCCCTTGGATCCCAGCAATATTGCCTTTCTGCTGATAACGATGCGAAGATCATGACTTTTAATGTGTCTGTTCAGCTGCGAGAGATGCGCCATGAGAACCTGAACCTCTACCTGGGCCTTTTCCTGGATTCGGGTATCTTTGCCCTGGTGGTTGAACACTGTCCTCGGGGTAGTCTGGCAGACCTGCTGGCCGACAGCGAGGTGCGGCTCGACTGGATGTTCAAGTCCTCCCTGCTCATGGACCTCATCAAGGTACCTCTGAGCTGCTGAGGTCTATTACGGGCTTCCAGATCAGAAAGTGAGCTGGTCCTCAGCCCCACGCTGATGCATCATGTGATGGTCTGAGGAGCCCGCATGATGACCAGTCTGAAAATGTTCCCTCTCCTGTTGTTTAAATCCTGCTTTGAATACAGGAATTTATTTAATATGCAGCATTTTTTGTCAAAAGTCTGACTGGGAAACTAGCAGTCTTTGGAATTTGAATCCACAGCATGTTGCTTTTCTCTCAAAGTGTCCCAAAGTTCAAGTTTGAATTCTTTATCTGTGAATAATTGTCTCCATTTCAGGGAATGAAGTATCTCCATCTGCGGGGTTTGACTCATGGTCGTTTGAAGTCCACCAACTGTTTGGTCGATGGACGTTTTGTGCTAAAAATCACAGACTATGGACTTCCCATGATCCTTCAGTCTCAGAACATCAACTACTCTGAGGACCCACAGGGTAACAGCATGCTCACCATAAAGTAGCACAGATGAAGATAAGCGGAACTTTATTGATACTGTCAGGGAAATTCACAACCAGCAGCTATGGGGCAGCTATAGGGCAGCAGCTACGGGGCAGCTATGGGGCAGCTATGGGGCAGCAGCTATGAGGCAGCTATAGGGCAGCTATAGGGCAGCTATAGGACAGCTATAAGGCAGCTATAGGGCAGCTATGGGGCAGCTACGGCAGATGCTCTTCCAGGACGAAGGTCTCTTTAAGCCTCTTTTAAACACTTAGGGCAGCAGAAGCTCTGGTTTTCAAACTAAAAGCTTTTGAGGAATGGGCTCAGTTTCAGAGATCAGAGGAAACAAGAGCAGGATGCTGAAAGGCTGGCAGGCGCTCTGGCTTTGCTCCATCTTTCCTTCTCTACACCAGACCTGCTGTGGACGGCTCCAGAACTTCTCAGGAATCCAGTACGGGCCGGCTCCTTTGCTGGAGACGTCTTCAGCTTCTCCATCATCATCCAGGAAGTCGTCTCACGAACGCCGCCGTACGCCATGATGGACATGCCGGCCCACGGTTAGCACCCGTCTGTCTGTCTGTCTGTCTGTCTGTCTGTCTGTCTGTCTGTCTGTCTGTCTGTCTGACACCTGTCTGTCTGTCTGTCTGTCTGTCTGTCTGTCTGTCTGTCTGTCTGTCTGTCTGACACCTGTCTGTCTGTCTGTCTGTCTGTCTGTCTGACACCTGTCTGTCTGACACCTGTCTGTCTGTCTGTCTGTCTGTCACCTGTCTGTCTGACACCTGTCTGTCTGTCTGTCTGACACCTGTCTGTCTGACACCTGTCTGTCTGACACCTGTCTGGCCCTCAGAGATCGTGGAGCGTCTGAAGAAGCCCCCTCCTCTCTTCAGGCCGATAGTCTCAGTGGACGAAGCGCCTGCTGAGTGTCTCAACCTCATGAATGACTGTTGGAATGAAGATCAGAATAAAAGACCCAGCTTTGATGACATCTTTAAACAGGTTAGATTAGAAATATGTCTTTACTTTTACTCATGTGATGACTTTTAATGGAAAATAGACATACATCCTATCATTTCTAACCCTTAATAACTGTCCTCCAAAAGTCCTTCTGTTGGTGTGGTTGAGGCCCAAGCCCTTTGCTTTTCAATTTTAAGGTTCCACGGATCAGTAAAGTTTATTCATACAGGTATAGATTATTTTGTTGAGCTCCTCACAGAAGTTACAGTGACATTTCATTGTATCTTTGCATCTTATATACCTGTTTCTTTCTTATTCAGAGCATGTTTCAGTCTGGCATTTTAGGTCTTTTGTCACCTGACAGAGTTAGAGTGTTTTTAAAAGTTTTAGGAATAATGCAAGCCAGGAAATGTTGATTTATAAAGCACTTTGAAATCCTCAGATAGAAAACACAAACTCCAAAAGGACTGCTATGAATGTCTTTATGTTGATAGTTTAGGGGCATCAGCAGAGGAAGACGGGCAAACATCATCGACTCCATGCTTCGGATGTTGGAGCAGTACAGCTCCAACCTCGAGGATCTGATCAGAGAAAGAACCGATGAGCTTGAAGTGGAGAGAAGCAAGACAGACAAGCTGGTGGGACAGCTGCTTCCAAAGTAAGACTCAGTTATGTAAAAGCACTCAGAACAGTACCCACATCTTTTTCCAAAAGCAGGACCTGCATCACAAGTTTTGCTAATCTGACACACATTCCACTAAACGTAGAACTGCCTCATACCCAGTTTCACCGGAGAAATCTGGAACCCTCACTCCCATATCATCTGGGGATTAGGAACTTTTTAAACACAGACAGAAGGATGCAGAGTTCATTCTGTTTGTTACAAACATTAAAAAATCCGAGCACAGCAGAAATCTGGATCTGACCCAGACCTGAACTCTAAAAGTCAAATCTGTCCAGATCTGATGTTATGCAGCTATCTCCCTAACAACTTCTCAGGGATTAAAGAACTAATATGTTACATAGAAAAGTGCTACATAGACTTGTCCTCAGTAGACTCAATAAAAGGCGCAGAAACATCAAAGCTGCCTTCAAAAAACAGCCTGCTTTCACCTTTTTATGAACACCTTCATGTGGCTGGACCCGTCCTTCTGTGTGCCTATACAGAAAGAAGTATTTCGAGTATTTAGAGACAGTTACTGAACTTTTAAGGAAGCCCGACACATATTGGAATTTGGTTTGTTCCGCATCAAGTCGTCATGATCACAGAGCCTACAAAGTTCCAGGAAATGTCAAAATCCAAGATCAACAACTCTAATTTAAGCGATTGATCTAAAGGAAGCGTTTTGATTGAAAGTAACTTTTTTCTAGTAAAGTTTGATGCATCCATGAAAAGTTATTTAGTTTTGCTTATACTTTGGTGCAATGCCATTCTTCATGATCATTCATTCATAAAAGCTGAGCTTTCTTTTCTATGTATAGTCCTCTAATAATTAGGTTGTATAGTGATGAAAGAACTTGTATTCTGTCTGCCCGTTTCAGGTCTGTGGCTCAGGCTCTAAAGAAAGGGAAACCGGTCCAGCCTGAACATTACTCAGACTGTACACTTTACTTCAGTGACATTGTTGGATTTACAACCATCTCCGCCCTCAGTGAGCCTATTGAGGTAGAGACAGCTGCTATCTCTGCTTGTTGTGTTTGAATGGATTCTCTCAGAGTAACTCAGACTGTCTGCAGGTGGTCGACCTGCTGAATGACCTCTACACCATGTTTGATGCTATCATTGGTACTCATGATGTCTACAAGGTACTGGACCTCCAAACACTCTAACTCTGAAGAAAAAACAACAGTCTTTAAAACCAACTTGCATGATCGTTTATTAGAGTTTATGTTCTTTGAAATCTTTCTCATGTGTTTAATATTATTAAAAATGACCTGTTAATGTGCTCATTTTGCATAGGTGGAAACTATTGGAGACGCCTACATGGTGGCTTCAGGTGTTCCCAACAGAAATGGGACTCGACATGCAGCTGAAGTGTCCAACATGTCTCTGGATATCCTACATTCAATAGGCGCCTTTAAGATCAAACACATGCCTGAAATTAAAGTCAAAATACGTATCGGACTGCATTCAGGTACACACATTAATGAGGAAACCTCCTTTGTTACTCATGTGGATTCAGACTGGTCAGATTTCTAACCCGGCCCTGCTGACCGCAGGTACGGTGGTGGCCGGTGTGGTGGGCCTCACCATGCCCAGATATTGTCTGTTTGGTGACACCGTGACCAGAGCCTCCATCATGGAGGCCAGCGGCCTGCGTACGTATGACTTAAACTGTACTTGTAGACATGGGGCTGCTACGTCTCAGGCGTTAGAAAGGTTGGTTTCCCTGGCAACACGTCAAAGGGCAAAACGTTGAGCCCCCAGTTGCCTGCAAAGCAGCCTCAAACAGGACGCAGTTTCAGTGTCCTGCTGGATAACAGGGCTGTGTTATGAAAGGCACCAGTCATTAAAGGGCCTGGTAAAGTCACCATAGGAGTCAAGGTTGATGTGGTTTGATGGCATCTGATGGGAAAAGACACAAGTAAAAAAAAAAAAGATACATACCTGTAAATACATTTTGTGGAATAATTTAAACCACCAGTCCACAGGTATCTGTTTACTTTGTGCAGCAGTGTAAAAACAGATCAAGTTCTTTCAACCTCATTTAATCCCAAAAGGGTAAACAAAGATAAGTGTCATCTAGATCATATGAATGTTTGAGATGAACTTTGTACTTTTGTTTTTCAGCATACAGGATTCACATCAGTCTGTGTACTGTAAAGGTTCTGACCAGTCTCAAACTGGGCTACGTCATAGAGACCAGGAAGACAGAGGTATACTCATATTTACAAAACAAACATGTTACTTTGATGAGGATCCATTTGCTGATGCTGCTTGTGTCACGACTGCCTCGCTGAGCGGAGCCAAGAAACTTAGCAACACTGACAGTTCTTATACAAGCCAACAAAACATGTGGACGACTGGACTTACAACAAAAAAGCAAGACATAGTGCTCAGAGAATGATCTGGAAGTCAACAAAGAAACAACCCCAGACAAAACACTAGAGGAGAGTGCCTGGTTAAAGGTGGCGGTAAGGATCTGCCAAAGAAAGGAACAGAGAGGGGTATGAAGGAGAGCGGTCACTGGGATGGAGAACAGGAGCCTCAGGGAGCACAGATTCAGGCGGTTGAACTCACCAGGAAAGTCACATCTGGAAGTGAAGATGGCAGAGAAAGGGGAACAAAATACAACACAGGAAGCGGAACATTAAAAGACTAAAGGAGCATTAGCATTGTAGCGCCAACATTAGTCATTACCGTCTGGAAGAGGACCTAATTGCTCAGGATATTTGTTCATTACTGTGTCAGTAATGTTTGAATGCTAAATCCTGCAGGTTAAAGGCACAGAAGACACGTACTGGCTGATGGGTCGAGAGGGTTTCGACAAGCCTCTTCCTGTTCCTCCAGACCTCATTGGAGGGTAAGAGCACCCAGTCTTAATATTATAATAAACAACGGTGCAAAACTTTTCTAAAAAATAAATGAGGTCAGAAATAAAAGATCCACCGTCTTTATAAAATGAAGCAGAAATGATTCATTCCAGCTTTAGGGTCACTTGAATATTACGAGGATCCGTTATCACAGCATAAGTTATTTTCATCAATGTTGGTCTTTCATTCTCAGCGGCTTTCTGATACATTACTGACCACAGTTATGGTACAACACTGTAATCGTTTCTACTAATGTTTATCGTTTCCTTCGACTCCTGTCACATGTGCTCAGTGATGCGAGCAGGTTATTGAACTGGGTTTCCGGGGAGTTTTTTGACAATGGGGAATTAAATTTGACAAATATAACACTTCTGATTAGTGTGGAGGTTCAGTGGGAATGACATTAATTAAATGAAATGTAGAAGCAAACTCAGTAACGAAAATGTACTTATAACTTTTCCTTTATATGTTAAGGATTTGGGTGGAAATAAACTACATGAGAGTACCAGTTTCAATCCTGACTTCTGAAGTGCAGCCTCCCTTTCAGATCTAGTTAGTTTAAAAAAAAAGGGGTAATTAAGCTATTCATATTTAAGAAATATATGCTACATATAGTGTACACTATTGTTTCATTTTTTAATAAGCCCGAAGGCCTGGCTCCAGAGGGCTGCAGACTGACTCATAGCATGAACGTTTGGAGGGTAGTCGAGGTCAGCTGGTGCTCTGGGGACTGAGTTTGGCATCTGCTGATGAACTAACTCTGCCTCTGAGGAACGTTCCCCCCTGA